GGGGAGGAGGGGGGGGGTGAGGATAGGTGGAAAGCCGCGATCGGACGGTGACAAAAATTGTATGTAGCGCCGGGGCGACAATAATTGAAACGGCGCGTAACACCGTCCGAATCCTCGAAACCCATTTTATATTTTAATCGCACCCCGATAGGCTCGTCGCGAGCCGCTCCCCCGTGTTTTGCGATACTCCTGTACTGGCGTCCCCTCCCGACCCCCCTTTTTTTTTTGCCCTGCCGATCCACGATTTTCGCGATCGTGTCTACGCGCGAGTAGATAACGCGAGTGACGTCGAACCGATGATCGAGAACCATTGCGCCGGGAAAGGGATTACATCGACATTTGTTTGTATTAAGAGGAGGAGGGCACAAATAGAGAAGATTAGACGCGCACGGGTGAGAGAGAGAGACATTTTACGTTTGATGCGATTCTATATGATCATCGACCTCTCCATCTCTCTAGTCTAAATCTGTAGACATCTTTTGCTTCATTTTTTACGAGCTTTCGTTTAATTTTTATTTTATTTTATTTTATCGCCGATGTCGAACATTCATCTTAAAATAATACTAAAGTTATGTAACGATAAAGTTAAGATAAACGATGACCTATTTTAATCGAATTGCGATTTTCCATAATTTATTGAAAAAAAAAATTGTTGATGCATACGACGAAGCAAAAAATCAAGTATACATATTAATGCGATTTATAGATGCAAAAATAGTGCCTTTTCATAGGAAGCGCCTTGGTTGTTGTTTGATACAAATGCACGAAATAAATAATTGTGAAAAATCAGGCTTTTCGTATGCGACTACATTATGATATTTTCAGAGCGTTAATATTAATAAAGTAATATTTGGACATTTGGAAATTTAGGGAAAAATGGAATTACGAGATGCTTTCATTAAGGCGATATATATTATAATAATGCATTCGCATTTATCGCGCCGGCGAAAGCATCGAGAAATATGTTCGGAAATGAAATTTTTCCCGTTTATATTAAGATTTATATGACACGCGTTTTTCTAGATGCGCAAGATTATTTTTTGCAGATCGTATGATAAATTGATATTAAAAGAAGTGTACGAGCTTGCGAGGCATATATAGAAAATGCTATAAAATGGAATGATTTATACACAGGGGAGACAAAAAGAGAGTTACACAAGTCTATAAATAGCTAAAAATTGTATAAATATATATATATATTTTTGCCTGAATTTCTGCGAGCAATTCTGAAAAATCTCGCATACTTAAGATTGGCAAGTCTCGGATGAAATTCCGCGACAGTCGGACGGAAACATGTATAGCCGCATCTATAACGCGTACCTACGCGTTTCTCACAACTTGAAGTTTTATCGATTCGTGCCACGGATACGCGAAAATGTCATCCCTTTTTTTTTTTCGCAATCCGTGTACACTGCATTTATACTATAATATCCACACGCGCGATTAGATTATTCAGGAGTTTTAATAGCCGCACTTAACGATTTATCGTCATATCAATCTGCGGTAACGAGCGGCCCGCTCTTGCGCGGCCGACAATAAATATTTACGCGTTTCCACGTTCCATTATCTTTTATTATTTCAGTATGAAATTATCCCCGATACTTTGTTGTGGGGCGCGCCGCCGTGCCTATCGTTTAATCGCATATTTAACGCGTGTCGGCCAAACTGCTGACACTATAATGTTGTCGGCGCAACGCGCGTCGATCCTCCCTTCCACCTTTCCTCCCACCTCAACTGGTTAACCGTTTAATCAACAAATTCCTCGCACTTTCTGTTGCAGGTGAGTAACTTCGACTTTACACGATGATGGAGCCGCAATCGACGACACTTTGTACGAGAGCGATCGGCCGGATAATTATCCGCGCGTAATCGCCGAAGGCGATCGCGCCCGACTGTTTGTGGAAAAACTTTTCCGTAAGTCCGACTGACTCGAATTAATGCTCATTACGGACACGCGAGGCACGTCGCGGTCGCAACGGTACTCGCACGCGATAAGATCGAATCGAATGACGGATGAAAGCGATGTTTTATATATACACCTCGCACACGGAAAACCGCTAGTTTGTAATAGAAAGATTTTTCTCACTGCTCCGTTGAACAAAATTTATTACATAATTTATTTATATTAATACAATTTATATCCCTTTTTACAGCTTTTAATTTGATATAAATTTTAATATATAGTATAGTACGTAATGAGCATATAATTTAAAATAAATTATAAATACAAAGTATAAATGTATAAAATCGTGGTGAATATAATTGAACGAATAATTTTTTACAATGTATTTTTTTTTTAGTGGAAATTATCAATTCTCTTACTTGAATGTAATATTATTGTATTGTACAGTTTTAATCTCTTAGATATTCTCGAAAGCAGGTTTCCTATCAAAACTTTGAGAAAATTCGAAAATACCTACATATTTAATAAAACACTACATTATTATGCGACATGAAGATAAATGCTTACTTGAAGACCTTTGAAATAAGACATTCACGAAGTTCTCCGTGCAATGATTAATATTAAATATCTGTTACAAAACCGTTAATGAAAAGCGTGTAAAACTCTCGAGTCACATATCGGGAATGCAAGTGTCAAAGATCGAAGCCCACGTGTCTCGCGGAGAACAATTACGCCCATCCGATTGCTCTCGACGAGCGACTTTAACGACGAGAGACAACAAAGGTGACTAGGCCAAGAGCGCGGGGCAGGGGGGGGGAGAAGGGGGAGGG